CTCTGAAAATGTAAAAGTCTAAATGCAGTTGTTCCTCTTTGACAATCAGTAAAGGTCAGTGAAGCTGCTGTGAATCTCCCTCAGCTTTGAGCTGAAAAGAAAAAAAAAGTTTAAATCATTTGTCATAATTCTCCTCGTCGGACAGACCTGGCTCTCTCACTTGGCCGTGGTTCAGAACGTGGTGTGCATCGGGATGGGAGTGACGTTCTCACCGAGCGGGGACAACGCAGACTGTTTGAGGTGGTCTCTCCGCCTGCATTCTGAGTCCAGGAGTGAAATGGGCTGTCAGAATGATGTATGATGTGTGTGTTGGTTGCAAAGAACTGGCATTCTGAGCCCGATAATATCTGCCATGCCACTTCAATTTGCACAGGAAAGGAATATAAATGCACAGAAATTCTTAGAGTTTCTAACAGATCTATGAGGAAAAAAATGACTCAGACTTATTTCTATTGGATTTGATCATGTGACCCCAATCAAAGGAAACATGTTCATGATCACTTGTTTGACATATGATGATGAGATGTATTTATCTAGAAATATTTCCTGTCTTGTAATTACTTCACCAGAGACCAGACACAGAGAAAAGGGAAGTGCTGCACAGAATTAAAGTGTACTAACTCAGACGGTCAAACCCGCGTCATCTTTCACAATTAAAATACATCACCGCCTCTTTCACTTTCCCTCTCACTTCAACCCATTGGCTCTCTATTATTTCTATGCCGGGTAGACCCTCCCCCTGTTGCCTTTATTATTATGCCCAACCCAATCTCAAAAATTCTCCCACACCCCCTTGCCCCCACCCTTCCCCTTGCCACTGCCTCGCCGCATTGATGCCGATAATTGCCAGTGAATGGATCTGCAGATTCCCATGGATGTCAGCGGAGCCTTTGGCCTGGTTTGTTGCTCCCCTCCTCCTCGTCCTCTCCGGCGTTCCCCGAGTCTCGCCTTCTCCCTTCATAATGAGGATTAGGAGAGTGACAGAGGCTGCAGGATGGAGAGGATGGAGAGGGTGAGACTGAAGGATGGTTTGCCATGCAGCTCCCTTATTTGGGGTCACCTTGAAAATCAAAGCTGTCATGACTAATAAACCAGAAATGTCATTAGGTTTTTTTCAGGTTTCCATAACCTTATAGGTCAGAGCTTTAAAACTGGGATTTTGTGAATGAATTGTGAATGAATATAATCTTACCTGTTGAAGGTAGCTCATTAGAATGCTTAAATTAATAGTATAAGGGTTTAAATTTGACCAATATTCAAATGATTGTCTAATCAGTATTATCAGGTAAACTGCAATGTACTCGGCCTGAACCGATGTTAGCTGGTCAGATCTAATCTTTGTTTTTATTTATATGAGGATATTCTAACTTTTATCTACCACAGGTAAGATAGGGGTGTGCAACTGATGGCCCACAGGCCACATCCAGCCCACAGATGACTTTTAAAAATAAAATGACTTCAATTTAAGTCACCACTACAACAGATTGCACATAGCTAAATATGAAACAGTTACTGAAGTCACAAGTACATAAACAACAGTGGCATTTTACCAGAAACACAACCACACAGGAGTCCGTACTCAAGGCATCTTACACAGTTGCACTTCAGCTCACTAAACTGTTTATTTTTGCTTGCTTCAAATGTTTTGTACTCATAATTATTAAATAAGAACATAACTGTTCCACATGCATTTGAGCATAAAATAAATTATTGCGCTGTATGTTGGTTTAATATACATATACACAAACTTATTTTAAAATGTCAGTTTTATTACATTTTGGTAAATGTGGTAGTGTCAACATAAAATGTTGTGGTCCCTTCCATCTTTTAATTTTCCAATCCCTGAGGCAAGATATCAATTACTCAGAGTTTTTCCTCAAAACTTTACCTGTAAAGATCTAAATTATTTCTTTAGGGGCACAGTAAATGTACCATTTTAATGCTTATGCTAGGAAATATCCGTTCAGAACAAAGTCAAGGTATAACTTTATATTACATATTTAAAAGCTTTAACAGATCGCCTGCATAGAAAACAATTGTGGAAAGAAAAAGACAGAGTGAGGGAAAAGACATGGATTCCCACCATTTCTCCTAGAATTTCTCCAAGAAGAGCTGAGCGGATCGACGTCATGGACACTGGGAGCCCACGCATCCTCAGCTGTAGCCAGAAGTAACCGATACCCAGTCAACGCTGATCCAAGCTTGAAACCCTCTAAAGCTATTCTTCCTTGCAAGGAAGTCCAAGGAGGGGCCCATGCACAGTTAATCACATCACACAACAGAGAACAGTAAGAAGGAGGGAGCTTGAGAAGAGAAGAGAGAAGCACTTTCCTGCTGCACAATGAATAAGATGAAGACAGAAAGCTGCTTTCAGAGAACAACAGGAGAAAGAAGCAGAACGTACAGGGTGCCAAAGCAAGCAATGCCGTGCATTTCACAAGTCTCTTTAATGCAATAAGTACCAATCAGCACAAAGCATGAACTTACTCCAAAACCAGTGGTAATTCAGTCATTTTTCTTTCCCTTTGAGTGCAGCTCCAATTTGAGGAAATGGTTTGGAGGAGGCTCAAAGGCGTCTATGCTACAGGAGTGTTTGGAACCAACAAGGTTTGGCTCGAGGTTGTATGTCAGCCTCACTTCAAATTATCATCATTAATGAAATTTCCAAGGGGAAGTAGCCATTTGTATGTACAGTATGTGATACTCTGGTGCAACGGCCCTGGATGAACACCATGAAAAGTGACATTTATTAGTCAGGTTTTGCTAAACTGAGCTGGGCAGCCATTGACAGCTCATCTGGTTTTAAGAGCTAAAGAAGAACCCAGAATTTGTTACCAAACAATAAAAAAAATGAGGAAGACTGTGACTATGTGAATATGGAAAAGCCCTCTCCATTTCGGAGAGCACTTCATATAAACAACTTTTTGGTCATTTGGAAGCTAATTGTTGACATCAAGTTTATGACTTAACAATTCCTGCCAGAGGTTTATTTTTCTGCATGCAAAAGAGCTCCATCATTATATCCTGGACAATGTTCCATCCCCCTCCCCTTTTTCCCATCCCTCTGTATCATTTCCCAAGACTGTTTACCACAAACACAAGAGCGGCGCAGCCTGAGCTCATTATGAAAGGCCACGCTGCAAAGGTACTGCCAAGTCCTGCCCTACCGTCCGGGTCCTGGCACGGTCGTCTTGACAACCCAGCATCCAAGAACACAGGGGTAGTGGTACGGGGTGGGGGGTAATTGTCTGATGGTGCTGGTGGTGTTGGTGTTAATGTGTTGCTGCGGGGGTTGCATGATGTCATCTTGTGGCACAGAGGGGGCCAATCAAACCCTGAGAAAATTATGTCACCTTTTGTTGAGCCGGTCCATTCAAGGCTATAGAAGTGCAGTGAATTGAGAGTTGCAGAGAGGTCATTTTTTTCTCCCCCCATCAGAGTTGTGTATATGTGTATGTGTGTGAAAAAAAAAACGAGAGGAGGAAAAATGCAGGGGGAGGCAGACAAGCAGAGAAATGCATTGTGGGCATGCTAATGTTGTTGACCATAAAGATGTCACAAAGCTCAACTTGCAAATTATTGGCACGGGGGCCTTCTCTCTCTTTTTTATGTGATATAGTTTGTTACTTACCCTCCCACTAATATTTCAACCCAGTTAAACTTTACACAACTTTGTTGTGAGGAATAAAAACAGTTTTGCGGCCAGACAGGTTGGTTTTGTTTTATTGTAGGAACAGAATAGAAAAAATGTAACTGCTCATGTAATACCTTCACTTTTCACCATGTCCTATGCTGTATAGGAAAATGCTAGGCGCACTTTCAATCTAGGGAATGCCACATATATATATTTTTTTACTTTTTATCAGAGTATAGTTGATTTAGTCTGTAGAATAATCACTAGTTACACAAGTTTCTGAAGGTAATGGCTTTGTTACAACATGAGGGTGCAGGGATATTTCATGATATAAGTATCATATGATGCAATCAGTACTATAAGAACTGGTGCTCAGTATAAATAGTGTCAAATAGAAAACAAAATAAGGATATTGGAAGTTTCAAAGTATGATCAGAGATTAAGTTCATGTTAACGTCTGTTTTTCACTGTTCTACTTTTATAAATTACTGATTTCAAGTTGTTTTATTAATCCCCCCAAAATAGCAAAAAAAAAAAAACCTCTTCAGATGGCTAGAAAATGTATGGAGTAAATCTTTTACAAAATCTCTGTCCCACATAACTGCTTCATTCAACAGCCGCTCATTAACATGAACAGGTATTCTTCATTGCTGTCAGCAGATGTTGTCAGGTATGAGGAAGACTTCTGGTATTCTGTTTCAAATGAATTGCATTAACTATTTTAACTGGAGAAACTGGTTTCTAAAGATAAAAAATAATGTCAAAGACAAAACTATTTAATTACATATGTGAATGTATTCAAATTGGCAATGAGATTCAGAAAATTGCACAGGAGGTGCTACCTGAAATCCTACCTTGAGCACCAAATTGGCTCCAATATTCCTCTCTCCTACATTCATCCCATCACCCAGGGGGACCAAATCTTGCCCTGATTTTCAGATGAAATTGACAGTGGTAGTTTTAGTTTTGTAACTGAAAAATAATAAAATATTTCACAAAAAATAATAAAAAATACTGGTTACACATTATTACCACTAACCATCCACTCCTGTCTCTTCACAAGTGTCTTTTTTGTAGTTTTAAAAGAGGTCCACTTGTAATTGTCTCATTCATCTTCTAATAAGTTCATGTAATCATTTGAGATCATTTACATAAAATCATGTTATAAACCCTGAGCATTTATTGTGAAACTGCTAATGTATCCCTGCTGAACAATGCAACCATTACAAGTTCAGGAGTGTAGAAATAATTGTAATGAAGCCAGCATAACTAAGAGGAACAGCATGAATGCATAAACAGACTTGTAGCAGTTACTAAAAAAATAATCTCTAAATCTGCATCTATAATGACAAAACAAACACACAGCAGCTCAGATCCACTTTTATTATTCTTGTTAACAGGTTTTATCAGACATAACAATTCACTGAGATATAAATTATGATCAGAATACACAGTGAAGGATGACAGGATTATTAGCCGCCATTACCAAAGGGCTGCCAATGTGTCACAAAGGATTGTAGGTAGTGTTTCTGGTTTACATTCAAAAGTTTTAACAATGGCTTCTTTGTGAATATTTTCTGGGAAAAAAAAACAGAAATCACATTTCTATTTAATTAGATAAACTTTTTTGGTATCTTGATCACAAGTATATTAAAATTTATTAAATAGAAAGCCTAGTATTGCTCTTTCAACACACGTTGGTGCACAGGTGACAAAAACATAAAATCTTTTTTTTAGTAATGGTCACAAATTAGGGGTAACAACATAGTGAAGGGCTGAAAACCTAAAGCAAAACTATTCATCCAAGTTCAGCCCAGACCAAAAAGACAAACAATGTCTAAATGATTGAGGTAACTGTGATACAAGTGCATTCATCACATTGACTTTTTCACTTATTGTGTATCCAGACGTTGATCGATGCGTTTCATGAAGCAGAAAACACTCCACTGTGCTGCTGAGTGTACGTCAAAGCTTTTCCAACTTCAGACTCCTGGCTCAGATCTCAGATCTACAGTATATTTTCAGGGATGGAACTGAGTCATGGCAAAAAAAAAAAAAAAAAACAATAAAAAAAGAAAAATCTGCTGCTGGAGAATCCGGTCCATGATCCAAACCAGGATTCGGTGGAATCCTAGGAATATATTACAGAAACTAATGATTAGCAGTGGCCAAAAAGACATTTACTAAAATTTACACACTTTCCAGGACAATTTAAGGAAAATAAAGGTCTAAATAAAAGTCTAAAATCTGGTAACAGTGTATAATAGTTTGATGAGGATCCTTAAAATAAAAACAGATGCAAACAAACTTCTTATACATGGCAAATTTAGCTTAAAGGAGACATTTTTAAATCCTTTTTGTTGCTGTTGTTGTAGTATATAAATCATTCATTTGGGGTCTATATAAAGTGGAACTGCAATGCTTTGGTATGATTTCCTTTTATTTTAATGCTCTGAGTCATACTCTGCCTCCAACATGTAAGGCTGGATGGACAAGTCTTCTTCTGTTAACATATTTTTATTTATTTTTTAGATTAAATGCTTCTGTGCTGCTATATAGTTGTAACCCCTCGATCAACGGACTGCACTGGAAGATGGAGGGGGGGACAGGATGTGAAGCTCCTTGTTTGCAAGAGAGTCCAGACATTATTTAACAGTTTTATTGCAAATAATTTGACTACTGAGTAACTGAGAAGTTTCTCAGTAGTTAAGCATTTTTTGTGTACCATAAAGTGTTAGTGGAGAAATTCAACATGTCTGAACTATAGAGACTCCAAGTACACAAAATGGCTAAAAAAGTTGATTTTGCAAGTTTTCTTGAGCAAAAACTGGCATAAAGTAGTTGCAGAATATCTAGCCACGCCCCCAAGTTGAAAACTGATTCCTGTAATTTAAAGATTACAGACAAGAACACCAAACTTAAAAAAAAACGCTAAAAATAAAGATGAGCTCAAGGTTGATAAGTCAATACTCCTAAGATTAGGTAATGCAGGTAGGTGGCCTTTTGACAACCCAAACTTTGCCGTACCAGCCTCGCTCGGGAAGTAATCTCCCACGGGATGACATAATGGTGTCAAAACCCGCACACCAAGCACTCAATCCTGCCGTTGTCTCTGGCAGCAAAGTGGTGGGACCGGCCCATCCTGTCTGTTTTTCACCCAGGGAAGGAACAATGTGTCAGAGGATAAGTAGTCATCAATCACCATTTCTCATCTTCTTTCTGCTTGTCTGCACCTCTGAGGCAGTTTACCTGCAAGGAGTCACGTTCCACCAACGCACAGGAAGTGACCTCACTCACTGACCTCACCCACTGACTCCTTCCTCGTTGTCCCTGCTTCTGCGCCTCACACATCATCGTCTGTTCACAGCTTGCTTCGTCTGGCATAGGTCGCAAGTCTGCACTTTGCTCTGTTAGACTTTCCTTTTTCAGCGCCTCGCACTTTGTCGCCTTATTTGCTTGGATCTTGCCTTTTTGGCCCATGTTCTGGTTTTTCCCGTCCTGTGTTTCTTTCCTGTGCTTCAGCCTGGAGCTGCACCATTATAGAGCAGCATCAGAGCAAAGGACCAGGTTCCAACCTGCCTCAGAGTCTCAGCCTGCCCGTGGATGTCTTTCTGTGCCTGGGGCTGCAACTGCAGTCTGCCCCTATCGTCCTTCCCCATCAGCACATCTACTGTACCTGTCTGCTGGCGCCCTGTCATCCATACACAGTTCCACTTCGCTTATTAACAGTACCGGGTAGGCAGGAATAAAAAAAATGGATAATGCAGGTCTAAACTTTATAGAAAATAACTATTCATGTTAAGGTCAAGCATGTTGGACCTTTCCAGAGAACACCCGCGACCACCCTGAGAGCTGCACTTGTACAGTACCTCTCATTCAGCATGCTGGCTGCCCTGCACAATCCCATCAACAAGTTTCTTTGAAGGCCACCGGCTCTGTGGTGGGCCATCAAAGCATATCTTCTCAGTTGCACTGAAACGATCTCAGGCTCCTGACAGAAGTTTTGTTTGAAGTGATATCTCTGTGCCACTGCATTCTTTACTGTGTTGTCATGACTTTGGTTACATAATCAAACAAAAAATATAATAAATGGGTATAAATCCAGCGTGAACACTGCTCTTATATTTGTGACTTGCACCTTTGTGTGTTCATAATAAGACTGCAATGTTTGATCACGTAATTCACTCAACGATGAACAAAATAAACCAGATACCAGAGATGTTCTTACCTTTGTACACTGTTGAGATTGTGTTTCCATTACTCAGCCCTATCTCAGTGTTCACCTGGGATCATCTGAAAAAGATAGAGGGGGGAAATTAGGTGATTCAGAGACGTTCATTCATGAGTCACCATGAAAGACCAAAAAAAAAAAAAAAAAAAAAAGAAATCAAATCTAATCTAGACCAGCTTTGCCCAAACATGCATCACTGCAAGCTCAAACAGGAGAAAAATGGTGTTTCATTTGCATGGTCATAAGTGCAGAGACAGCAAAAAATAAGTGAAGGAAATGGGCAGGGACACCAAACACCAAAGGGTATGGCCCTTTGGTGTTTGGTGTAAAGGTTGGCAGCCTGTGCCATCTCTTGTTAGGTGGGACATATACAGTAATACAAAGACATGTGGTCTGATTTGGTATAATTTATTCAACTTAACACAAAGAGAAGGAGATTTGTGTTTAAGTTATGTCTTTGTTGGAACAATGCTTTTTGGCAGTCAATCTAATACTGTTGGAAAGCTGTTGATTTTGCTTTTGAATTGTGCCACATTTGTAAGGAATATGCATTTGTGAAATGAGCAGTAAAGTTGTGAGTTGTGCACAATCTTCTCTGTCATTATTAAACAGCTTATTTTGCTGTTGCTATTTACACTTGTTTTGAGCTTCTGGTACCCCCCAGCTGTTGCCAATCAGGAGTAAGATTTATTGCGAAGAAGCATTGTTACAACAAAGAAATAATCTTAAACACAAATGTCCTTACTTTTTTTTGCTAAGTTTACATATGTAAGTTTACATGTGCAACACTTGTTAATTTAAATGGAACTCATTACACAATTAGTGGAAAAGAGCTACCCAATAATAAAAAAGCAGTTAAATTAGTTTTCTGTGCGATAATCGTTGCCTGGGATTAGCTCTATTGCAACAGGCATTGAAAAGAGAAAGTTTCCCATAAGATTATTCTATTTTACACTGATTTTTATGCTGTTTATTTATTATGTATTAATTTATGGGTCCACAGGTTCATGGAAAAGGTTGGTTCATTGTTTTTGGATGCAAACCCTTTTCAGACTAAAGTTGCACTTTCTGAACTAATGACAGCTCGACGTCCTCTTCATCCAGTTCCAGACAAAGGTGCTCCTTGCTTTTAAGTTTCTCTGTCCCAGACCTGTCGCCTTGGCAACAGATACACTGTTTCCGAGTGACACAAAGCCTGAACTGAAAAACCTCCTTTCAGGCTGAAGGCTCCAATGGGTGAGAGGAAAACAGCAATAACAAGACAGTGGGGAGAGAAACTGAATACTGGGAAATTGCTTCACAGTGTTTCTGGAGGACATGGTAAAATTATTCTTTCTTTCCTCTCCCTTTTAAAGAAAAAAAAACTTTCCCTGGGACCAGGCACCACAGGTAGTTGTGTGCTGGTTTCAGTTCGTTTATATCCTTTCTTATGTTTCCATTTATTCTTCTTTGTGCTATCATACTGTGCTAAGTGAGTTATCATGTACACCAGGAGGCTGGGGTTGCATGTGGCTAGGCTTAGTCTTTTGGATGAGGTAATGTTTCAGGAGTTGGTGAGCCAGGAGAAGAGCTGGTCAGGTCTTGATTAGCTCAGAGGTCAGGGCTTTCTCAAATATTAGACACCACGTTGGGTGGTGAGATTACCGCTTTATGAAAAACTGCCCCTGCTGACACACCTGATGGGATCAGAGTTTCCTGGTTTCTGCTTATGAGCTTTCCACACTTGGGAAAGAAAACACAAACACTGCACACACACACACACATTTGAACTTTTCAGACGAGACAGGCATGAGTATTGTGAGATTATACCTCAAAAATACTTATGTTCAAAATGGCTTTTATTTGGATAATGTATTTGACGTGCATCATGAATGGTGACCCCAAGAAATAAAGACATCCCTGTGTTTATGACCAGGCCAGAGGACACATAAACACTCCTGCACTGTGTGATTATATCCTCTAGCTAATCTCCGATGGAAATCACAAGATGGATTACTTTAAAAAAAAAGACAAAAAAAAAACGTCTTAAAAAGTTAACAATGTTTAAAAAATACACAGAAAAAGCTTTGAGAGTATCGGGGCTATAGGATGATTTCAATAATTTGGTATAATTTCTGATGGTCCATTAGTTCAAAATAAAGCTCTTATTATAAGATATGTCTAAACAGAAAGCTGCAAACAAAATCTGCATTAGAGTTTGAAGCAGAGCCTTACTTTGTTCCAGATGTGAAATTCACTGTTAATTAGCAGCGGCCTTCCTTCACATCGGCTTTCCCAAACAAATCTCATTTAAAACGGAGGACAACGGAATAAGTGCAGCAGCCTGAATTGCCCAACTACACCACAAATTTCAACACCTTTCCATTTCTACTGTGTGGAAGCCCAGACCAACAAACACTCATATTTCCACCGAGGACATTGTGAAAACAAATAACTGTGTGCGTATACGCACAAGCGTATAAGCACATGTGCAAAAAAACACACTAACACACAAACCAGCCAGGGACACTGGCACTACCTTGCGCCAGTGGTCCTTTAAACCAGTCATGTGAAACGACCCATTCCGTTCTGCAAATCAGATTACATCTTCGAGCTGAGCCGAGGTCTGCGAGAACACACCCACATTTAAAGCTGGAGGCTCAGATTCAGGCAACACACAAACACATCACTTTGCCTAATCAGATTTTTTTTCCCTCACAAGCCCTCCTGTCATTGTGAGTGTACAAAAAGTGCCATGACCAGCTAAGTGAGGAAATACAAACTTAGGAACTAACAAAAGACTTGCTGCAGATATACATGCGACCACTTATGCAGCACTCGCTTTTAAAAGGAAAAACAATTTCTACGTCAAGAAAAATGATAAAGTGTTGCGATAAAAAGCTTTTTTCTCTGCAGCATTCGGCTGCTGATTGGCAGCCCTGCTGTGGAATGAGCACATGTGGAAACATGTTTATAGTGTTGGGCTAAATGCAAATGATAGATGATTCCCAAATGATTCAAATTCTCTTCAGGTTATTGAAAACATGAAAATCATAGTTGTTTATTCTGCTTCAATTAGTGTCAAATTTGCCTCAGTCAGTGATTCCACTTTAAACAACATTAACCATGCCCACTGAGCGACGGAGGCAGGAGATAAATAAGTGCGTGGAAAGTTGAATCAGTTCAGAATGAGTCTGCAGATTTTGCTGTACTGTTTTTGCTCAGGTTGCCTCTCAGGTGCTGAGCAATTTTGTGTATTGTGAATGTTCTCTTGCTTTGCAAAAAAAAAAAAAAAAAAAAAAAAAAGCTGTTTTGTTGCGTTTTGGTGGACTGGTTAGCTTAATTAAAACCAGATAGCAGAAGGAAGTACAATCCACCACCCCTCCTCCTCCCTCCCTCCTCCACACACACACACACACAATCTACGTCAGGTCTCCACTTTGGTGATCAAGAACAACAATTACAACTCTATGTCTCCCTCTATCATGGCCGTCAACAAAAGAATAATAAAATAAAATTGTGTTTTCTTTAATGTATGTAAAAGAACCTAAATGATTTCTTCAAAGAAAAGCAATTGTCACTGTCAGCATAGAATATAAAGATTTAAATTATTTTGTAGATGTTGTGTAGCTCATTGTCAGGGCTGACTTTCCCCTCAGTGCTATGGAGGTCAGAGGGTGGGAAGTTGCGGGTGGCTGGAAGTTGAGCCGGCTGTGCCCACAATGGGGTGTCAGGACTCTGTCAGTCAGTCTAACTCAAGCCCGGCTCAAGTGGGGTCGCTCTCTCTTCACAGTGACATCTGAGAAGACCAGCAGTGGAGATGGGCAACATAGAGGTTGGTGGAGCAGAGGTAGCCCACCTTGGGTTAGATTGCACTGGATGTTCAGATAAGATGACAGGAAAGGGCAGAACGGGGCATGGCGACACAGGAAGCTGGCTGCGGTTACTGTTACCTTCGGAAGAGCTCACTCAGCTCTCGGATCACCTGCCCCACCAAGATCTGATTCAATCACAAAACTACACAGCCTAAACATCACACTGACTGGACTACACAAAAACATACTAGAATTGGTCAACTCAAATGTAACATATCAACAATTTACAGCATTTTTTACTAAAGGAGCCTTGACCGAGAAATAGAATAACTTCTTAGGTACACAACTGTTAGCCAAGTACGATATAATTGCAACTGAAAAGTTATGGTCATGGGTCTGCAACCTGTGGCTCTGTGGCCACATGTGGCTCTTTGGTCCCTCCACAGTGGCTTTTTGAAAATGTGGCCAAACATAATGATGATTGTTTTTTGTTTATACCCACAACAAAAATCCATTTGTATGCAAATATGTGATCTATACTACTAACACAAAATATAAAACATGTTGATTAGCACATGCTAGCTTGTTGTGTACTTAAATAATCCAACTTCATTCTATGATCTTTCTCTCAAATCCATTAGAATTACCTTTAAAGAATCTGAAGACTACATAATAAGAAGAATTAGTAAAAAAAAGTGCCTGAATAGTTCAGTTGTACTAGATTTTATGAAATTCGGTATAAACTGTATACAGTATTTTTCTTGTTTACATGAATGTGGTCTTTTCATTAGTCCTGAAATGTAAAAATAACAATAAATAATAAAATTCACAATAGATTTTTCCGTTTATATTGTCACCTCCACTGGCCATAAAGGTTCCCGAAAAGGCTTTGAAAAGGCCCATGGACCACCAGTTGATAATTATAGTCTTAGCTTGCTTTGCAGCTCTGGACACATTTTATTAGTGCATCAAGTAGCATAAATGGCTCTTTTGATCATAAATGTTGCAGACCCCTGGTTATGGTCAGTTACTGTTACTGTGAAGGCAATATATATTTTTAAGTATTGTGAAATCTTATACTTTAAAAACAAAATACAGAGCAATTTCTCGTTCCAGTAATAATTCATTATCATGAGCATTAATGATGTATTCCTATAAGTAGAAATGTTTTCTCTTGCATATGCATTGACAATTCATCATGCACTTTATGCTTTTTCACATAAATAGTGACGTCCAGCCAGTGTCTGAGATGCAAAGCCATAATGGCT